AAGAGTTTGGGGGGACTTCTCTTTCCTTGAGTTCACTGAGATCTTTCTTTTCTTGCTTTTTAGGTTTTAATCTACCCTTTTCTTTCGGCCTCTGACCTCTGAGACTAAGCATTCGCTTCATGGTCCCACACTTCCGTGTTTTCTTTCGCTACCCCACATTCTGTTCACACCACACTGTTTTTTCTGGAATCCTAACTAGCATGTCTTGATTACCAATGATATTGGGACATTTTCTTTTGGGCTGACATGCTATTTATATTTCCTCTTATGTGGACAGGCTTCTCTCCACTGAAACCTTTTTCCCCATCACAGGTATGTCTCTGTGCTGGGGAGGAGAGAAGGTGGAGGCTCAGCAGAAAGAAGCTAAGTTTACCACCATCAGAGCAATCCCCACTGAAATAGAAATGATTGTACCAAGGGGCCCTCCCAGCCTCAGCTTTCAGGTGAGAAACCGAAAGCATCTGGACATCCCCATAGGTAGAGGTTCTCACCTCTGCATGCGGCAATTGCTCCTCAGTGGGTGAAGCCACCTGGCTGAGATGGGCAGAGTCACTTTCGATGGCCTGGAGGACTTTCAGAAGCTTCTGCTGTTGTCTGAAATGTGACTTTGTTTTAGCAAACAGATAGAAACAAATGCTACAGGACAGAAAACATTCCCCTGGAGGACACCATACTTAGTTTTCTACCTCAGAGAGATGTGACAATTTGAGGAGAAAGTACAGTTGACCCTTGAACAGCGTGAGGGTTAGAGGCGCAGCCCCTGCACAGTTGAAAATCTGCATCTAACTTCTGACTCCCCCAAAATGTAACTACAGTCCCTCGGAAGCCATGGGGGATTGGTTCCAGGAACCCCTGAAGATTGTGGATGCTTAAGTCCCTTATAAAAAACAGTGTAAAACAATGCATACAGTTGAACCTCTGCATCTGTGGATTCCCAGCCCTTGTTCAAAGATACTGTTGGTTGGCTGAATCTGTGCATGCAGAATCCAGGGACGTGGAGGGCCAACTGTATATTTATTGAAAAAAATCTGCATATAAGCGGACCCATGCAGTTCAAACCCATGTTCTTCAAGGGTCACCACGCATACAGGTCAAAGGCACACACAGGATGTTTTTCTCCCTTTATAAATAACTGTAAACTTAGTAATGAAATCAGAGCCAAGTAAAAGTAATGGCTTGGGGCAGGATGGCCAGCTGACCTCCTTAAGCTGACTGATAACTTGTAACAGTCCAGAAGAGGAGTCAGAGGAAGTATGGCCTGCAGGACAAAAGCAGCCTGAAGCCTGTTTTTTCATGGCCTGCAAGCTAAGAATGGTTTTCACATTTTTAAAGGGTTGTTAAAACAAACTAAATGTGAAAAGCCTAAAGTATTTGCTATCTGGCTCTTTAATGAAAAATTTTGCTGACCCCTGGTCCAGAGACTGCTCTGAATCTCTTTTGTTCTGAGGACAAGGACATTCCAAACCCAGCAGAGCGTCATTTGCAAATGCACCCACCTGAGCTGTTTAAGGCTGTCTCCCCCTCTAGCCCCTCGGCGGGGCACGTGACTTTGCACAGTCCCCAGTGCGCACAGCCCCACACGGTGGCCCGGGGAGAATGGCTGTGTGCCAGTGCATGCTAGTAAGTACAGGCTCAACCTGACAGAGCTTTCTGAAGATCGATTTTGCCTGAAGACTAGAGGAAAGTCTTTATTTTGATAATAAAACTTGACAGTTCCAATAACTGATACTGAGTATTAATGGAAGAGAATACTGCATTTGCAGAAATTTTAACAGAGAGAAAAAAAAAAAAGAAGGTTCAAAGGACACTGCTTTGGGCCAAGGCTATCTGGGAACAAGTTTACCACCGTCTGCAACTTTTGAGAAGGTTGGAGATTTACACAGGTTGGACTGAACTGAACAAGCAAAGAGACATTTGCCTGAGAGAAATCAAGTCGATTTTGAGCTTTAGGGCTAGAGGTGGGATGAGGGAGGATACAGTCTAAAGGGGCAGTTTTAGATGGGATGGAGTAACATAGGAAAAGCAAAGAAAAACCTCAGTTAATAGATCCTCACGGCTGCATTGTCTGCATTGTCAGGGATTTCTTGTTTTTGTTTTGAAGTCGTCTTGATAAGTACCTGCTCCCCAAAAGGCCAATTCTGTCAATGGCTTCACTGACGGCTCTGGCTCCCCCTGCTGCCCTGGATGGCTCTGGCGGCAGGCTGGTCACCACGGTGATGGGAAGCAGCTACCGATGGAAAAGGAAAAGCATATGAAACAGATGTCTGAGGAAACACTCCTGTTCCAAGACACAGCAGAGCCATGGTCAAAGGAACACACTTTGTAGGCTGTCAGTCCCGTTGTGAGAAGCGTTCCTGTTTGCATGAGTGACAGTGTCTGCCTGGGGCTGATGAGCTCAAGAATCCCTTCATGCGAACTTTGCAACAAGACAGGATCTCAGTTTCTTATGATCTGGGAGGTCCCAGGAAATAATCTGCTTCCATGAGCTATTGAAAAATTTCTCTCATCAACACCTTTCCCCATCTCAATTCAATCCTTGTTCTGTTTGCTACAAAGTAACAGGACTCCATGGAGAATTCCAATAATGACGTTAGGTCTTTTTGCCTTCCCCCTTTTTTCATATATCGTCTAAACTAGAAATGCACCCTGTTCTCTATCTGCAAATGATTCGAGTTCTTGGAAGCTCTGCGGGTCACAGGTCAGGTCATCCAGAAACCCTGGAGCACGGGGTGGGTAGCGTTACATCGGACCCATTGGAAATACCCACGGGCGACGGTTAAAGGTGACCAGGAAATAATAAAACGGGCAGGAGGAATACGAAAAGAAAACCACTACAATGCTCAGGGGTACTGCCCTGTCCACCACACAATCCCAGCTGAGTGCCCCCTCCTCTCCTACCCTGTCTTCTTCCTGCTCCTGGATTGAGCCGTCTCATTCCCACTTCAAAGCGTTCCCCCTGTTCTACCTGGAATGCTGTTTCCTGCTGCTGGCTGGCTCCTTAACAGACAGGGTTCAGTTCAAATGGAATGTCCTGCAAGGGGCTTCTTCAGACCTCCTGGTCAGAGGTAGCCACCATCCCACACCCAGTCAGCTTTTCTTGTCATCTCTCTGAAGTCACCTGTTTATTTATGGCTTTATTTGCTTGTTGCCTGCAGGCTCCATGAGGCCAGAGGCTAATGTGATCTGTATTCTGAGCACACAGCACAGACCTGTGCATAACCTAACCAGGACTTTCCTGGGCATTTTCTTAATTCACGTCCCTATTTGCTGGGGCTGTCTTTGCTAAGATAGGCCTAATTGACCTAGATAGATATAGCTATAATTTATTTATTCAGAATATTAAGATCTGTTTTTTTGTGTTGTCTTAGATACATAACAAGGAACTAGAGTCAGCAGGCCTGGCTGGCTTCAACTCGTCACCTTGGACAAGCCGCTCCAGCCAGGTAGCCCCGTCTGTGAACTGGGAGAACAGCATCGTGCTCAGGGAGCACAATGGGGACCTGCCGGGACTACGTGAGGAAAGCTCCCTAGAGACCATCAGGTGCCGTGACAAGGGGCTCTGGTGTTGCTCTCAGGCCTTCACTGACCTCAGGGCTCTCGTCCTTCTCCTGCAGCAGACTGGTCCACGATTTTGCTGGTGGTCCCTCAGTGTCCTGGAATGATGTCATCACACGATGTGAGAGCAGAACAAAACCATCCAGGGCATACACGTCACTGACAGACTGGCACAGAGGCGCAGGGACTGTCTCAAAGCCCATAGCCACAAATGTCATGGCAAAGCCGAGCTCCCAGAAAAGACAGACAACACGTGTTCCTCAAAGCATATCCCAAAGAGGAGGCCACTGTAGAGCCTGGGGAGCGACTGGTGGTGTGGATGGGGTGCTAGGCTTTCAGGCAGGCAGACCTCAGCCACTTACAAAGACATGACCTGAGTAAGCCACCTTGCTTCTCTGGGCGCCATCAGGCACATCTATAAAATGGGGCGATGAAACAAGCCCTGCCTGTTTCAGGGTTACTGTGAGCATCAAGTGAGATGAGCTAAGGTAGAGGGTTTCAGCAGGTGAGTCAGGGAACATGCTTCTGAGAAAGGATGAGTACACCAAGGTATGTCCAAGGCCTCCAGCTCCTCAATGGGCCCTGCTCCACCCTACCATTCCTGTTTGCTGCTCAAAGCCCAAGGCGGCGGACACAAAGTCTAACACCTGTAGGGTCCAGGAGGTTTCCCGAACAGGTGAAGCAGGCCAGGGCAGGGCCACAAGGAGTGGTGAGGATGCAGAGGCCTGCCAGGTTCATGCTCTGGGGGAAGATCCTTCCAGAGAAGCCAGAGTTTGTCGCTGACTCCATTCTTTCTCTGACCCACAGTTCGTAACTCCAGTCTAAGGTATCAGGGTTTGCAGAGAAATCAGCAAGGCTTGGAGGCATACTAGCATCCAACCTGGGCTTTCTGCATAAACAAAAAATGGGAAGAAGGTGGAGGAAATGGGAACTTTGGCAGGTCAGTGAGCGACTATGCATCAACCGTGAGGTCAGGGATGCCTACGATGTCCCTCTCTCCTCACCATGGGCTCCCTTACCACCTGGTCTCCGAGTAGCCAAGTCCTCCTCTATCCCTTCCTGCTGCCCATGACCATACCTGCAGTGGGCTGGCGCAGGGCTCGGCCTTTCTGTTCAGAATTGCCCTCTGCAGGGCTTCATTCTCCACCTGGATGGCCTTGAGCACAGCTGAGGCATCTTCCTCTCGGTCCTCAGCCTCCAGCACTGGTTTTCGGGTTGCTGATAGGGGCCTCTCTCGACGGCTTCCAGGTCCTGGGGACAGAAAACAGGAGGTCCTCCTTTAGACTGAATTCTTGGGGTGCGGCTCAAAAACTATTAGACCCAAGTTGAGGAACAATCTATAAAACAACTGGCTTGTACTCTCCCAAAATGTCAAGATCATGAAAGGCAAAGAAAGCCTAGAGAGCGGGTCCAGATTAGAGCGGTTCCAGATTAGAGGAGACTGGCAGACATGGCAACTAAATGCAGTGGCGATCGTGGGACAGGATCCGGGGTGGGAAGACATTGCTGTAAAGAACACTGTTGTAGCAAGTGGTAAAATCTGAACGTAGTCTGTAGCTTAGATGACAGTATTGTATTAATGCTAAATATCCTGAATTTCACAACTTAAGTGCACTTGGTAATGTGAAATGAATGCCCATGTTCTGAGGAAATACGGTCGGCCCTCCACATCCGCGGGTCCCACATCCGCGGGTCCCACATCCGCGGGGTCAGACGAGTGCTACACGGTCAGGCCTACAGTAGCTGCATCTGTACTGAACATGCACAGACTTTTGTTTCTTGTCATTATTCCCGAAACGATATAGAATGACAACTCTTTACATAGCATTTACGTTGTATTAGGCATTCTAAGTAATCTAGAGGTGATTTAAAGTATACAGGAGGAGGCACATAGGTTAGATGCAAATATTATGCCATTTTACATAAGGGACCTGAGCATCCTTGGATTTTGGTACCCACGGGGGGTCCTGGGACCAATCCCCTGTGGACATAGAGGGGCGACTATACATACTACAGTGTTCAGGAGTAAAAGGGAATGATGTCTGCAACTTAATCCCAAATGATTTAAAAAATGCACACGCATAGCAAGTATAAAGCAACCGAGGCAAAATGCTAACAACTGGTGAACCTCGGTGAAGGGTTCATGAGTGTCATTTGTACTATCCTTGTAACTTTCCTTTAAGTGTGAAATTGTATCAAAAAGTTATTAAAAATTAACCCTCTAATGAAGTACCTATAAATAATAATATAGAATATCATGGAGAATGATGGTTATTTTGAATATTTTTGCTTACTTTGTTTTTGTATGAAGAACAAGAACAACAAAGAAATTACTCCTCGATTTAAGAAAAAAAATATATTGCAAAACTGTAGTCAATTCTGGAAGTTCCAAGAGTGAAAAATTTGTTTTATAAAGAATAAAGCGATATGCAAAAAGCATCCAATAAGACTGGTTGAATAAAATAATGATGGTATATCCACCCAATGGAGTACTAGGTAGCTGTAAAAAAAAAAAAAAAAAAAAAGCATACTAAAGTATCTACAGATTACATGATATGATGGCTTGAATTTGCCTCATAATCATTAGGGGAGTGCGCGGGAGTGTAGAGAAAATGAAACTGGCCATCAATGAACTATCGCCAATGCCAGTAAATGGACACATGGGACTCACTATAATGCCCTCTCTATTACTTATGTCTGGATTCTTTCTGTCAAAAAGAAAAAAATCTCCACTTAAAGAACTGCTCAACACTGGGATGTTGAAAGAGGCTTTTACCTACTAAATTTCATACCCTCGGCAAATATTTATTGAGTGTCACTGTGCCAGGCTCTGTTCTTGGCGCTGGGGACACAGCAGTGACCAGAAAGATCAAAGCCCCCACCCTTGGGCAGAGAGACAACAGCCAGCGAAATAATAAATAGTATAAGGTATATGGAAAAACAAGTCTAGCGGAGCAGGGTAAGGGAGATGGGGAGTGCTGGGAGGCAGGGCAGGTGTCCTGAAGCATCCAGGAAGTGTGGACCAGGCACCAGGGCGAAGTGAGAGGTTTGTCCCTGGAGCAGCAAGGTACCTCCGGCTGGAGCAAGGGGAGCAAAGGCAATGGGTTGAGAGGAAGCCTGAGAGAGGGTGGAGAGGGTTAGGTCACAAAGGGCCTGGGGGACATCGTAGGTCCATTACTCTGAGTGAAATGGGGAGCCACTGAAGGGTTTACAGCAGGGGACAGCTTGATCTGACTTAGGTGCTGAGTGAAGAACAGACCGAAGGGAGGTGAGGGCGAAGGCAGAGAGACCAGTTAGGGACCAGGGCGGTTGTGCAGTGGGAGGCACGGCGGCGGTGGAGGAGGGAGAGACTGCGGTAGGATTCCGCGTATACAGTGAAGACAGAGCCAGCAGGATTTCCTGACAGTAGACATGGCTGGGAGAGAGAGAGAAGAGCCAAAGATGACTCCAGTTTGGGCCTGAGGAAGTGGGCAGTGAGCTGCCTTCAGCTGAGCTGGGGAGGGCTGTGGGGGGAGGGGGGCAGGTTTAGAAGCAAAGGGGCTCAGGTTTGGACAGGCTGGGTCCCAGATGTGATGCTGGCATCAGAGTGCACATACACACGAGTCTGGCCTTTAGGAGGGAGCTCAGGGGTGGAGATGAGAATTCAACATAGGCAACTGGATTGTATCATTTAATGATAAAATCAAAGATTGTGACATTAATGTTGACCTCTAACAAACTAGGAATTTACAGGTCTGACCTCTTGGAGGCCGTGTGTGTGTGTGTGTGTGTGTGTGTGTGTGTGTGCGCGCGCGCGCGCGGGGGCTGGTATGAGGCTTGTTGAAAAACAGTATCCTTCCATCCTCATGACTTCAGTAAACCACCAGCACTGATTATTAGAGATTCCTGTTGGAGCACTTGACCCTCCTGCTATGTTCTGTTAGAATGTTGTGTCTGAATAGAGTTCAAGTAGCAACCTCGAGAACTGAATTGGCAGGAGGGGGACGGAAACTCACAGCAGCTCCCCTGGACTGGCTTCCAGTACGGCCAGGCACTGGGTGATGGGGACTATGGGATTTCATGGAAGAGCTAAGTTGAAATGAAGGGATACCAATTTCTACTAGGCACCCAGGAGAGGGACTGTGCATGCAAATGCTCAGGGACCAGGGGCAGATACTCTGACTGAGACTGAACATGAGGGCTGAGCCACAGTGAATAAGGAGCCGACGCCCAGCTCCAGCCAGTGCCTGCCATACAGGGCTATGCTTCTAGTGTTGCCAAGCTTTTTTTCCAAGCTTGGATAAGAAATTTATATGAAATCCCCTGAGTTTTATTTGTTCATAACATATTCCAGTTTTTAAGAAACATGAAGGCTAATAGAGCCCAAGGACTGGTTTAATACAGTCCGGCTGCTTCCCCAGGAGGGTCAAGGGTACCCAAAGGAACCCTCCCACGCCTATGGATGGCTGGCCTGGGCAATGGGTAATTTTCTGACTTTGATGGACTCTCGTCATTGCCCCAGTGCTCCTCCTGGGGACAGAAAAGTAATAAGCTGCTGGCAAAGTGACCCGAGGATTCTGCTCACCGCAGTCAAGGCTGCTTTAGCTTTCCTTGTTTGCCCTTCTTATCAGCGGCTCGGCCTGCTCTGCAGCTGGAGGGAGGAGAAGGTAACGCAAACACCACACCGGGCAGAGAAGGTGCGAGCTGGAAAGAGCTCAGGTTTAACAAGCCCATGGAGGTGGGAACCTTTATTGTGATTGAAATGTGGCGGGTAAAAGGGTGCTGAGGGTCAGCCTGGGATCTTCCTCACTTACTGCAAAAAGGGATCAGGTCCCTGAAGGGGCTGGGAAGACAGGATAAAGGAGTGAAAGGAAGCTAAAGGCTGTGGTCTTGCAATGTACTGGAGCTAGAACTAAAAAATCCTGAAGTGCCAACATATGCTCATCCCAAGGGGAGCTGCAAGCAGAATGGTTCCTGGGAGGGCAAAGGCATTAATGGCAAAGGCTCTCACCCCTCGCCACGCTGTGCAATGAGACACTGCTCTGGGCTCAGGGGTACACAGGTAGGTACAACAGGCACGCCCCTGTCCTCACACACCCCACAGTCATGACGCAGACAGACATGGAACAGGCAGGCGCACACAGGACATACCAGCAGGTGGTGATGAGTGCTGGGAAGAAAAACAACGCAGGGCAAAGGCTGGAGATGCCAGGAGGGGAAGGACACCATTTGAGACACTTGGTCAGGGAAGGTGACATCTGAGCAAAGACCTCAAGGCCTTGAGCCTTGAGCACACCCATATGGGAGGGCTGTTTCAGGCCAAGGGAACAGCAGGTGCCAAGGCCCTGAGGTAGGCTGAGCTTGGCACACTGAGGAGTGGCAAGTGGGGCTGGAATGAGGAAGCGAGGCAAAGTGTGGTGGGGAGCGAGGGTGGAGAGGTCTCAGGCTTGGCTCTTGTGGGGCGCCAAGGCCAGGTAAGCCTACGGGCCTCATGCTGCTTCAGGAGGCATTATGGCACCTGGCATTATGGTTTTGTCAAATGAATGAATGGAAAATGATTTTAACCCCAAACCTTGTCAACCTCTGTACTTGTGCATATCATTAAAGGATACTGTTTCCTCCATCACTTGACCCTTTTGGGTCCTATAGATGATTCTATGAACAAGGGACTAAGTGCACACAGTTAGTCATGCACACAGTTAAACACGCGCAGCACACCAACACTGGCGGGCACACCCGGCATCGGTGGAAAGCTCGGGCAGTGCCTGAATTCACCAGCTCCTTCTCTATTTCTCACACAGAGCATTTTTAAAGTCAGTTTAAAAAGAGCTGTGTGATGACCCTGGCCTTTTTACTGCCCCCACATGCCTCACTGGCCTGGGGTTGGGGTAGACCAGCGTGCCTGAGATAACTATTTGTCCTTGGCCACCACAACCCTACACTCGCCTCTTCTTGGAAAAGGACACTGAAAAAGGCGTTTTCTTTTAGCGAGGTCCAGTTTTGTCTGCACAAACCCTTCTGCCCCAAGCATCTTTCATTTGGGAGGGAATGCCCTTCGGGCACTGCCTGTGCCCTTAAAGTCATATTATGCTAAGAAGATGCTTTTAAAAATTAAATCAGTGAAGGTCAACTCCGCAGCTCCACCACCCATGCTCTCCCCACCCGTGGCTTCCCAGAAGTATCTGCACATGGTGCTTGTGTCCTCCTGAAGCACATTTCTGCTAAGTGGCTTGTGGTTACTGTGCAATCCTCACAACACATGAGGTGATCAC